ATGGGGAAAGGAGATGAAAAAGGAAGTGGGTTGGTGGGGCAAGAAGAGACGACGTGGTAGGTGTCGGCGAAAAATCTTGGAGGTAAGTAGGTGCCACTCATTTCCCGCAAAAAACGCCTGGTGACTGCTGGACTGAGATAGGTGTTCGTCTGGAAGCGCGTAGTATACGCTCCTCCGCTTTCCCAGACCACGTAAGGGCTCCGGATGGAGGCGATGGGAAGCCTGGTGAGAGGCCAGAATTTCGTGAAAGAGCGTCAGGATCGTATTGCCAGATGCTGACTCGGAATGAGCAGGGGAACGGTCTGCGGGAGAGAAGCGCGGGAAGCTTCCTTCACCGCCTCGTTGCCGAGGAGGCCCGAGTGGCCAGGATTCCATACTATATGAATGGGGTGAGGGGGGTTGAGGAGGGAAGTGTCAAAATGCTGCGCAAAGTAGGTGAGCTGCTAGTGGGGCTAAGGAACCCTGAATTTATTGAGAATAGGCTGAGTGCGAGTCCGTCAAGATGATGCGTGAGGTGGGTGTGAGGCGTCCAAAACAATGGCAACATCCTCAGCTTGCTTAACAGTGTTGGCTGCAAATAAGAGGCCATCGACGTGTTTTCCCTCTGTGATCTAGATGGCCGTGAACTGACTCGGGAGGGAGGGGGCGAGACGTCCAAGTTGAAAACGCTAGGATGATCGGAGTGTTGCACCTGAAGAGTTGCGGAACGTGCTGATCTACGGCAGGGTTGTAGCTCGGGGTACATTTTGCGGGATAGTGATTACACCCATAGCTTTTGACGGCAGAGTACAGGTATGGGCATCGGAGTGTCTTGGTCAGAAATCGCATTGAGACCGAGCCTGTGTAGCAGATGGTGCCCTGAGGGCGTCTGTGAGAGATGATTCTTTTGGCTAATGTGATAAGCTTCCTGCAGCTCTGCAAAAGAGATATGAACCTTCCTGTGCCACGAATCAGCTTGGACGTGGTAATGGGAAGGTCGAGTGCTCGTTTGTATACTGAATGAAGGAGGACGTACGGCTGGTGCTCGTTGTGACGATGCAAGCGAAGATAAGGTGAGGCGCACACGACGCGACAGATCGCAAACGCATGGGCCAGCCGCATGGACTAGGTCCAGTGGAGGCCGCTGTGCTTGGTAGATACACACCGTATGAATCGGCTGAGCTGTTCGCTGGTACATCTGAGGCTTGCTATTTGTGCCCTTGGTATCGAAAGATAAGGTGATGTGAAACGCAAGAATCCGAATTTTTTCGACAGATGGAACGGGACCAGATGGAAGCAAGGCCTCGAGTGTAGGTAAGTGAGATAGCGAGAGAATAGCCCGTTTAGCTGGAGAGCATTCTAGGCCACACGAAGCGGCGTAGGCGTTTAACAGAAAGGCAGCCTTTTGTAGGCGCTGTTCGATTTGCGGTTGGGAGCAGGTGTTAGTCCACATTTTTTATATCCGTGGCATATAGCCTGTGGTATATTACCTCGACCTCGCGCAGAAGAAGGGGGAGGTTTTTTATGGTCAGGTTAAAAAGTATGGGCGCCAGGACGGCCCCTTTGGCTGTACCCGTGTGCTTGCCAGGTTCAGGTCATGTTCGATGGAAACAATGCTGATGAAATCAGCGGGATGAGATTAAAAGGTTCGTATGCAGAAAGTGTTGTAACTGAAATTTGTGCTTTAGAAAGAATACTACAGCGTTTGACGTTATAAAACGCTCCTCTAAGATCGAAAGGAAGCGCAGCTTTATCAATACAGTGCATACTGGTCGGTTTTACAATGTTTTGTTGATGTTGAGCAAGACGTCCTGCGCTGGCAGATGCATGCAAAAGCCAAATATCGTATTAGGAAATGTCCCCATGGTCGACAGATAGACAGAACGGCGTTCATGTATTATAGTTTTCATAAGCTTTCTGGCACTTCAGGTTGTGAGATGGGTCTTAATGCCTCGATGTTGACTGGTTTTCCTGATTCGGGTATGAATGTAACGATTGATCTCGTCCATTCTGATGGGGCGGCGAGCCATCCCATATCAAATTTATCAGGTGGAGTAGCGAGAGGTGTGCCTCGTTGGGAAAGGTAGCCGGGAGTGACACTGTGATGCCATTTCCCACAGGGCCGCGCCACGCCGCGTTTTCGCCAGTGCAGCCCGTAAATCCGAAAGCGTGTACGACGCATAGAGCTCAGTGTTAGGGGTGCCGCGGACGGAAGCAAGCACTGGCGAGTGGAGAGAGGAGCCAACGAATGGACGCATGAATGATTAGACACACGGATGAACGGACAGACGCTTCCCCCCACTGATCATCATTCACTCCGTAGATATTCTTTGTGAAAACATTTAACGCCATATAGTTATAATATTCCCTAGGATGGATGAATGGATGGATGGGTGGATGGATGGATGGACGGATGTGGCTGTACCCTTTAGAATGGGCGGCGGCTAACGCCACCTAGCCGCCACCAACCCGCAGATCGGTACTGTGGAGGTGCGGGGCTTTCATATTGCGCAGATTTCCATCGGCTGTGAAATACGATAGGCTCCGTCGCCTAGGACACATAAACACAACGCCATCTATTGAGCAAGTCATAAACTATAGGTGCCTACATACATACATACGGAGGATGGAATTACCCACGGCCTAGGAGCGTCGCTCCTAAATGTAACGCGTTACTGGCGATGCAGTCACTTTTATCGTGTTGCCGTCACCAATTACTGTCTAGGGCATGGAGAAGCGAAGTTAGGGTGAAGAAGACAGTTGGGGGATGAGGATATGCAGGAGGAAAGAAACTGTCCTATGGCAGTCATATGCAGAGGGAGGGAAAGGAAGGGATGAAAAACAAAACCAGAGAAAACCAAACACCAAGAGAGAAAGAGTCAGAAAAAGGAAGTTACATGTAACAATAAAGGGAAAGAAATACAAATAGACGAGAGCACGGCTCCCTCGTACAGAAGCTTCCGGTGGCATATTTCACATGTAGACATCATTTTGTGATAAAGTACCAAAGGGTGTAACTCTTGCGCCTATCAGGAAAGCGGCGTCTCTGTAACCCTAAAATGCGAGAAAGCACCTGTTAACGCCGCTCCCGATTACAAAAAGAGGACTGGGCGCCACTGCGGTGTTTTTAGATGCGAAAGCAATGAATGCTCATAGAGCAAGAAATTTCTCAGCACTGTTCTTGCATAGCAACCCACAGAGTGGTACTGTGAATGTGCGGTGCTTTCATATTGCGCAGATTTCCATCCGCCATAAAAAACGATGGCCTCCGTTTCCAGAGCATAACAGCAGTCTAGAGGAAAAACTACGAGCCTAGAAGTGTACGAGTGAGTAAACTTACTGCATGAATTCGAGCCTACTATTTTGCTTTGTGGCAGTAGTTTGTGTCCACTGCCTGTAGTATGCGGCACCAAATGCGTGTCGTACTCTTTCGCAGACGTGCCAATATTCCGAGATATCACAACTCATGCATGCATGCACACACTACGCAAGACGATTACAAATGTATCGGTGCACTTCGGGTGCATTTTTGATTAATTGAAAAGCCCCTTGAACTGTGACAATATGGTCATAGTTATGCAGCACATACTTTGTACCCAAAGTTTCTGCATTGACATTTATTTATAATGAGTGAAATAAAAAATAATATTACTACAATTTTCAAACTTTTGCAGAATTTAAGCCACCCTAGCCTATTTAATTGATTTATTGATGTGCCAATTTGTTAAAATAGGAGGACTTGCCAGAGGAATGTTGCAAATCACACATAAAAGATGAAGTCACGTATGCCTAAGAATTGTTTTTCAGTAAACAACAGCTTTACATTCGGTATACTGTGCTTTCGCACCATTCATGTTAAACCAGAATCGTCGGCGCGTGATTGACGACCAAGTCCACTTCACACTTTGGCAGTAGAAAGCACCGGAAGCAACCCATTATCAAAAACATGTCACATGAACAAAGTGACAATGGTTATTGTAGTAAGTTGTATAGATGAAGTCCAAGCGAAGCCTTTAATCGGGGCGATAGTATATATTTCGCTAGATTGCAAACAAGATTTTGATTCCTGCGATGGATGAATGGATGGCGCAGCTAGTCCGGCGATGACTCCGCCTAACTAATTTGACAATCAGCAATTGCGTTAGTAGATCTAAATCTAGCGTTTAAAGCTGACTACCCTGCCGCGAGAAATATGAGCCAAAATAATGAGAAACAGTGAGAACATCCCTACTGAAACGTTCCGCATATACGGATCCGTACATACGCAATTATTGGACTAGGGAAAGCCGCATCATGCGGAAAGATGCGGACATCCGCAGCTTACGGAAAGCGCCATATCATGCGGAAAGATGCGGACATCTCTAGCTTACGGAAAGTGCCATATCATGCTAAAATACCCGATAAGCAGCTTACGGAAATCAGCATAATGCAGAAACCATGCAGCTGTCTTCTGCATCGCGCAAAGATCAAATGGACCTCCTAGATCTCGAGTAAAAGCAATGGGCCGTTCACGTTGTTTGCAAAGTAAGTACTGTGTAGAAGTATGTATGAATATTTCATTCTTAATATGTTGCATGAAGGTGAAATATGTTTGCTATCTGAAACAGCCTTGATGAGTAAACAAAGGCTTGGAAAAACAAATGTGTTAAGAAGCTACTTAATTAATATGCTGGATATCCCAAGCTGCCTTCATACTCCAACAAAATAATGCAGGGTTTTATTTAATGGAAAAATGCCAGCTAAATCTCCCTATAGCTGCTTAGGACGGCATAATAAATGTAGCTTCTGTTGGAAATAAATGAAATCAGTCTTTGCACAAGAAAAGCGTTTACATGCACTTTACTAGCAGCCTTGCTGCAAGGACTAAATCTTTTTTATTTTCTGTGTGTCCTAGCTGTGATATAAATTTGCATGCATACCTCAAAGTTAACTTCAAATAACGTGATTTTGCACCACCACTTCACGAGTGATAGCTTACCCACAAAAAGATGGGGCAAAATAATGTGCAACGACAATTTAAAAATGAACAATTTATAAAAAACAGTTTTCTTGCTGGTACGGTTGCTGCTTTGATGTCACCTGTAGTGTCAGGCGGCGACCGCTCCGACTGGTTTGCCGGGAAAAGCAGAGGGTACCCCCCCCCCCCGCATGCTTCTTCCAGCTCATTTCTTCAGAACTTTCAACAAATCTGCCAGATGCCCGTTCATATTCCGGCGACGCTGAGCGTCTGGTAGCTGGCTTTCATGCACCTTCAGGTGTTCCTCGTATGCATCTGAATACATAAATCATAAACAGATAAGTCAGATACACATTTAGGCAGCTTAATAATGCAGAAAAATAAAACATACAGAATGACACTGAAAAAGAAATGCCCATATTATTTTTTTGTATATACATCAATAACAATGGAAAGTGCATGAATGAGCTCCATTGCAAGCAAGAACATGTAAATGACGTGCTTATCTCATAGAAAATAGCTACAGTTTGGAAAACATGGAAATAACAACAGTTTCGGGAGGGGTCCTCCCTTCATCAGGGCATGAGTTAACTCATCCCTTGATGAAGGGAGGACCCCTCCCGAAACTGTTGGGAAATAAATTTATTTATCCTTGTTGACAACGCTCCCATTGTGCCATATCTCATACCTTCACGAAGACTAACTGGCCCATTGAATTATTACTCCCACTATATATATATATATATATATATATATATATATATTATATATATATATATATAAGCACATTACTTCCCTTAAACTTTGGTTTGTCTGCAATATTTCTCCTTGAACAGCTTTTCAGCACAAAACACTGCAAGTTATGAATCTGATATACACACACGTAGACAGGATCCCACAGTTGCCAATAAAAATACGTGCAACCCAGACTGCAGCAGCCCACGAAATAGAATACGCATGAGCAAACAGCAAGTTTTAAACCTAATAAAATCATGTTATAAAACAATTCAATACAACTTTGCACTGTGCAGCATTCTTCGCAAAAGCATGACACTAGTATTCATTGGCATGTTGAAGACATAATGAAAACTAAATTGTAATTCAGCTAGATGAGTATGATAACCTATGTAATTTCCCCTACACAAAATTAAATTTTACTATTTGAACTCTGGCAAAAGAAAATCGAAATCATCGCACTGTTTGAGACTTGAAAAACCAAAAAGTACTAGCACTCATAAACGTTGATGATGTATATTCATTCAAAAAACAGACTAAAGAAATATTCAATCACTTATCTACTAACTCCAAACACTCTTCGAAAGGGAAATTGCTTGGGCATGTTAGTTGTTCATCGTTCTTCACAAAACAGGGTGCAAGTAAGAACACAGGCAGGAGAAGAGACCAGGGTGAGCGTTCGTCTTGGTTTCTTTCTTGTCCCCTGTTCTTATTTGTGCTGTTTTATGAAGGTCCTAACACACTCTAGGAACTATGTAATCGAGGCTGATATGACACCGTAGTGACTACCTTGATGAACTTCAAGCAAGGAAAGATTATGATAGGAAGTTTTAATATTATTTTTGCTCGAGATACTACTTCAACAGCACATTGAGTGAATAAACAGAAGCCAACACTTTATTGACAGTGAAAAATTTGAAGATGCTTGTTTAGTTCAACTCATGGGCAGCAACAGTATTTCATTCATCCTGTTTATATAATGTAGAACTACGACCAAAAGTCATGAGTCATGGCGCCCATGAGTTCCCTTTGATTTTGCCCTCAATGGCTGCCAGATCAAATGTGATATATGTAATATAAATGTAACATATAGTGATCTGAGTTAGTGATGTCTGCATTTTACCAGTCTTCCAAAACTGCAAGGTTGTACTGGCAAGAGCTGAATAGCTGGTGTCACAATCCATCCATAGCAATATTTTGAAGGTGAACATAATCAACAGAGTCTGGCTGGGTGAAAATCAATAAAAAAAATAAACTTTCCAGCCGCTTGTAGCCCAATGTTTTTAAACTTGAAATTTGAAAACTATAAACTGGTCCATCGTTTCAGGACCATTTCGTCTCCTTCTTCTGGGGTGACTGCTTGGCAGGCTCATAAACGAGAATGGACAATATGAAATGCCATGCTTTTGTTGGCTCCACATAATGTTTTGTTTTATATTGGATTTAGCCATATCAGACTGCAATGCCGAATCCAAAAGCCAAGCCTAGTTAATCGAGTGCTTTTTGTTAGCAGAGTTCTCCATACGCTAGGTATGATCAATTGCAACATATTTCAATTTTTGACTACATATACTTCTTCAAGATTGATTTAAAACCCAAAGTCGTTTTTATGACTATTGCATAACCACAAATGAGTTCTCACCAACCGACTAGATTTTCCACATTAATATTTCACTGCTACGCAAATATTTTTTTCAGGAAAAAAACTAAAAATTATGTTAAAGGTTTCAAGTGCGAGGTGCATTGTTGGTACATTCCTCATTTTAATGCTAGAAAAGATTACCTCAAACTCTACAAACTTGACGGTACTCCTTTGAAAAAGAGATAATAAATTTAGCTCAGGTACTTGTAGTGTACTAACTACCTTAGGCAGTGCAAACAGTTACCATAAATACAAAATAAAAGGCTTACTCCTCAGGGCATCCAGCTTCCTAGGCGTCAACGCTTGTTTTTCAACGCTTGGTGGCCCACCATCTTCCTTGTGAAGAAAGCGGCGACACGGGGTGCCCGTGATGCTCCTATTGTAGAGATTTTGGATCCCCCATACCGCCTTGGCTGTGTCCCTCACAAAAAGGGTATTTTTTGGCTGCGCCATGAGGAAGAGCCACTTTTCTTGGGAGATTTTGATTCCATTCCTAAGATCTTTCTGCATACAAGAATACTTATTGACTTAATGCGGATCATTCATGGATAATGAAAGCAATTTTTAATAAATGTCCTAATGCAAGTTTATATGAATTTTTGTTTATAAATCTTGACTTCCTAATTGTTGACAAAGGAACATAAAAATTTAAGTTGGATGTAATTTCGATGACAACCAGGAAATTCCTCAGTTGAAAACTTTACCATAAACATACACGTATGCTGAATGATAATGTAGTGTCATCATCACTCAGTATGAGGCACGCACCCAGACCTTATCAGAAGCAATCTTCAGACCTTGAGTACTTCCCCAATTCAACCTTTGCACCTATGGTCCCACTACACATGTGCAACTGAATAATATTTTTTTCTTTCCATATAATTCTCCCAGCTGCTTCTTAGTTCAGAGGAATGCTTTTTTACTGTATCAAGAGATAGCATATGTGATGCAATTCATGCCAGTACACATCAGTACATACAGTTCCATAGCTGAACATAGCTGCAGGTGACTGTTTTTCTGGCTTGCTTTTTTCTATTTCTTCTATCATGCTTCACCACGTACCATCATTTTTGTTTGTTCAACTTTTTCATCCTCACCATCTCTATAGCTTTCGCCACCCATGCATTGCTTTCTGTCAGGCAGAATATACATTTCTACGCAATTTGTGTTTTTCCAAGCCTTTGTCTTCACTTAGACTTGGATATTCATTTTGAAAGAAAATGCCCTGAATTTGTCATTGAACTCTTGGCCTCATAAATAAAAACCCTTTTAAGATTTTGAGATGCTCCTCAAGTTCTTTTGCTGTAAAAAATAAAAAGAAAACTCCATCATACTGCAAACTGCGGCACATTTCAGAACATAGGCAAAAGCTGGACTTCCTAGTCCCGAGTGCCCCAAATGTGTATGCAAGCCTAAATTGCACACAAGGTTGTCAATAATTCATGGCACAAAAATATTACAAACTAGCATTGTTAAGTAGACTACACAAAAAGGAATAAAGGTATTGTTATTATAACAAGATATTACACATAAAAGAGAACCATGAAAAGGCCAAGTAAACATCGTCTTTGGTGGCTGCACGTGATATTCATTTCTGCAATGAAAGCAGCACTCAAGTGCTGTACCAATGGTGCCACCAACCAAGTGTGCCTCAGTAAAAGCTGGGACTTTCACCTTTGTGACAGCTAGGGATCAAGAGTGCCTGAGTGAAATTTCGGGATAGAAAAAAATTGAAACAAAACTGCTACCAACGTGGCACATGGGATACAAAGGGTCAAACATATTACTGTAAAAACTCACATATAGTCCGAAGTTTTTCTCAATATTTCATGATACAACATTTCTGCTCCATACTACATATGCTGATTTGAAAATTTTCTTGCCAGAATTCAGTTTTGGTTTTGACACTGTGCAGTGCTATCATCATCACTAAGCTTATGCAACAGGTACTGTTGCAATCACTTCACGATGCCCAAGATTTTAAACCATGAAAAAAAAGACTGCAAAAAGCAGCATTTAGCTACATTTAAAGCATTTTTTATGCGGAGTGGGTACTGCCAGACTTGAATCAGAAGCATGGAGCACTGCTGGGATTCTCATCTACATTTGTGCTCGACGTCTATTGGTGTCACTACCAAGAAGTGACTGCTGTGCGACTACTGCTGCGGGTCATCACCCAGGGGAGTTTGCATCTCAGCTGCACCCAGTGTGCAGCTAAGCAGAGGAGTGCAGTCCTCGCATCATTTCAAGTTAGATGGCAGTGATGCAAAATGCATTCAGAAATGGGGGAAAAAAGGAAGGGGAAGAACGCACAAAGTGGGAACGGTGTGCTGCAAAGCGATGTCCACTACAGACATGAAAAAAGCAAAAAGCAGGAAAGTTCGAAGCCTGCAGACGGTTTCCATGTCCTGCTAATACAAAAAGTTGCCGATGATAGCAGCGTACCTACTTTGGGCGTTTCTCTTCTTGTTTTTTTCTTTTCGTCCTCCCCCCTTTTTTCCCCACCCTCAGAGAACATTTTAAACCACTACCGTCTAACTTGAAATGAAGCAAGGACTGCACTCCTTTCCTTTATAGTTTTTTTTATTTTGAGACGGCGATTATGAACAGGGACATGCGCCTCCACCAGATGACGTCACTACGAACACCCTTAAAACTAAGTCGCCAAGATGACAAAGATAGGTCCTCCTATCAAAATGTCGGCCAGCCTGTCTGATACACTTTCACTGTTCACCCCGATTATCCCACTACATGTTTCCATCTGTTGGCTCCTATCTTGACTTTGAAAACTGCAGCAAATGAAAGAAACAATGGCAGAGATGGCACCTAGACAGCCAGGTCGGATGCGCGTGGAGACGGCCAGTTTTGAAATGCTAATGGCAATAAAACAAGCAGGCTTTTTCCTGTTATGCTCAATTTTAGCGCGGATGCAAGTTTTAGACTCGTTTTACCATAAAAAGAAGGTGCACATTAGATTTGAGTAAATATGATAAGTGCATAAATGAATGTATTCAGTTTCTGCTTTCCTTGGCTTATACACAGGTAAAATGTTTTTGCGTTAGGTGTCCCCAAAATGCACCTCAGACTTTATGCGCATCCGACCTGTGGGTTTTTACAGCAATGTGTACCCTTGTAACACTAAGTCATGTGTCTCTATGAAGGGACACATACTGTGTCCCCCTTCATAAAAAATGGCTTGATGTCCTGACCGCTCTTACGTTTGTGCACACAGGGCGAGCAAGTGGCACATGGGAAACAAAGTTATCCTTGTCATAAGTTGCTGTGTGATTAAAATGCTTGTATACAGGGACATGACCAAATGCATTGTTAGCATTGCTGCTGTTTGTAATGCAGGAAGACACTGGAGGGATAAAAAACTAGAGGTGAAAAACTCTAGAATATGTTGTTGGGCTAGCTGGTTCATTCTGAAGAAAGGAGATGAAGGACGCAACCCACACAGATGACAAAAAAAAAAAGGCTACAGGAACGACGACATCCTGTCCAGCCACCCACCCCTTCCCTTTTTTTTGATATACATGGGTTGCGCCCTTCACCTTTCTTCAGAAGGTCGATGCAGAATGCCATGTGATGACCATTTTCACCTTAGCCAGAGCACCAGTTATGGGAACTCGCTGCTAACTTGCTTGCGAAATTCTACAACAGCTATGCAGTCTCAAACCGTTTATTCGGATAAACACTGGTTGAATACATGCAGACTTGGTGGTGTATAGGCATGCATCTGCAGACTAGTATTGATTAGTTTTTTCAGCTACAAGGCGAATAAAGGTGCTGTTTTTGTAGGAACCCCCCCCCCCTGTTTTTTTTTACACTCAAGTATTCAAACTTCACACCCATTCACACCGAGTTGATATAGACGATTAGCAACTGTACTACCGGTGCACCTGCACAGTACTTGGCATTTGTACACACAAGATTTCTGTGCAAAGGAAACAGGAGCAAAAAAAAAAAGATGACAGTAAGTCCAGCTTCATAAGTGATCATGTTATTAGTGGTGCGTGGCGTATACTAGGCAACTATGAATGCTTTACAGGGAACCGTACCTGGGTAGTCTCAGCTTCGGAACAGTGCTGAGCTCCTTGTGGCGTCACTGGCATCAGAGCTGGTGAGCTGGTGGTAGTGGTGTCTGCTGCGCATCTACTAACAGCACTGCTGGTGGTGGTGGCGGGGGTGTTGGTGCTGCTACTGCTGGTGCTACTGGAGATGGCACTGGTGTTGCAGCACGTGGTGCCTTTATTTGAAGTAAATATTCGAGATGTTAGCACTTTCAATGATTCAGCTAACACACAAATGTCTCAACATCTAAGAACAGAGTAACACTACGTGTCAAAAATGCCTTCAATTTATTGCAAAACTTTGCTATACAAGATTCCAACATTTCAGTACTGCTAACTAAGTGTGAAATTGTAAGAGCAATGTGTACCGAAATCTTTGCAATATGTGTTTCATGGGGAGACAGAAAGTAAGACGTATTATTGCGAAAATCACATTAACTAAAGAGGATAACAACAGGAGAAAAATATGCATACTGGGTCAAAACTGATGTTTATTGTGCAGTACTAAACAAAAAGCACCAACTCATGCCAGCAGTTTAGTGCAATTCCTTTTGCTCCTCGCCGTCATTTTCAAATAAACGTAACAACAGTAACAGTTTACGATGCAGCACGTCCTTTGTCCCACTTTACAACAGTAGTATTTCACCATAACTATCGGCGAAAAGATTATAATTAAGTAAATTATTCAACAAGGAGGGTGAATAAGACTAATTCTAAGCAATATATACTATATTTCTATGGAATTAGAGAGTTGCGCAAGTTGGTACTTGCATGATGCATGAAAAAAAACTTGTAACACGATAAACAAGTAGACAGAACATAAGTACAAAACACATGTATGAAGAAAAATCTCGTGATAGGTACTATAAAAAAATGCCATTTATTTTCACCAAAGTGCTCGCGAATTTTTTTCCTTATGTGCGTTTGGGGTGTATATTACTGGCAGACCACTAGCGCCTGCACTATGTGCACGTGCCCTGTTATGGGTAAAAGAAGATAGCACTTTGTAAAAAGAGGGATACACGCAATTTTCTTATGTGCCGTTTGAGTATCAGCCTGTGTGGCATGTGAATTCTACTGTGAGAGTAAATCCATTTTTTATTGCAAGGTCTCATGTGAATCAAGGACACTGCAATGACAACAATATGTATTGCATATTTTCTGTTGTTAAGTTTAGTTGAGTCAGTACTTATCTTGTTTTTATTTTGTTAAAGCTTAACAATGCCCTGACAGGATGCCTGTTCAACGGGCCATATTCCTTCACAACTTGTCATGCAACTAACACTGAATTTGGGAGTGCCTGCAGCAATGACATATTAGCACAATGGCAGGAAAACTATCGCTCAAAACCCTAAAGCAATGTTATAGACTCATGAAATCTTATAAAAATAAGTATTCCTACTACGGACATAATTATCCGCTAACACTACTCAAGAATAAGTTCACTTCTAACGACCGTTGATGCATACCATATATTGAAGGCTGTCAACCACGTCATCTCCAGCAGCATGGCAGTCCTCCTCCCTTGGCCCACAAAGCCCCTGTGCACCTGGCTCTGGCACCAAAAATAAGACATTGCAAGTTTAAAGGGACACTAAAGGGCAAGTTGACTTTTCTCACCCCATCAGTAAAGTAGCCTTCGGCGATACCGAAACACCACACTTGCAGGAAGAATACGCTTAATAAGCGAGAAAACCCCCAAGAAAAATGCAGGTGACAACGCCACCTTAAAGTTTCCAGACCATTTGCTGTGACGTCACAAATTTTGAGGGCGCCCACTAAGGTCTACGTGGTTTCTAATTAAAAGAAAATTCAGTAAATTGCCATCAGAGGATAGCACAGACTTAACACATTAAGGTTGAGGAAATCGCATTTAGACAGTAGAACCTAAATACAATAAATACACTTTAAAATCTTTGACGTCACGCACGTAGACTTGGGCACAAAATTTAAACATGAAAATCTGAACTTGTTTTTTTTCTTCAGTAACAAACCAATGGTAGTGAAATAAATGACAATAAAGTTCTCAGAGTACAATTTATCAATCTAAACCAATTCACTGTTTTTCTCGTACGTCCCATCAAAGGAGTACTTCAAAATTTTACATATTGTTAATTTCACTAAATAAGCAGTTATCAGCCCATTCATTGGGTTACAATTGTTACTTTACAGCAAGATAATTGGCCCGTTATTTTCGGAGACAATTTTATTGCACCCAGTTGTAGTAGAGATACAGAAAGAACATGTAGCGGTGTGGGACTGGAGTGGTTTTCTTTGTAAACCCAGATGGCTAAATTGAAGGGATCCTGTGACTTAAATTAAGCATGCAGTTTTCACCCTTTTTTCTCCGACTGTGGAATGCACCGTCGTTCTATGAGTGGCAACAACAGAAACAATGCTATTATGATTTGTTTTAATATTAAACATTGTTTTTGGAACACAGTGGCACAGAGCAGCTATTTTTATGATTAGAAGCATTGCTTCATTATTTGGGAGTGAGGAAATTGACTGTGCATTTTGAATTGTTTGACACGGTAAGTCTAACGTAATATTTTATTACCACAAATAGGCCACACAGTTGTGCATTAAAAATAAAAAAAATATGCTTTATCTTTTCTCAAAAACACAAGAACTTATATATTTTTTTAATAAGACAACTTTAAAACAATTACACACTGACACTAGGAGCGCTGCACAAGGGTCCACCATGCGGCGATTCTTATAGTAACTCACTAAAAACACGCGGTGCTTGTAACTAGTTGACGTTAGTAGGAGAGTGAAATGTAACAAAGTACATCTTTTCTTATGATCAGTTGGGGTTTTGGAGTTTAAAGGCTAATAATTTCTGTTACCGGGCCTCTATTTAAATAATTATTTTTGCATTCATCTCTGTATTCAGCATTACATGCACTTCAGCACAGCAGACGGAAAAGCATTGCAGGGCCTTTTAACATGCAAGACTGTAATGCACTGTTTACGTTTAGCCTCACGTGCACATGTGCACGCAGTTGACAACAGAGGGGGACTGCAAACGTGAAGCAAGGCAGATACCAAACTAAGGATGTCATAGTTGGTTAGTTGTACACATTCCTATATATTTGATGGCAATGACACAAGTCTGTTCATTGTGTTTTAGCATCGCTGTGTACAATTGTACATCACACACTTTAAAACTGTGTTCAGGTATGGTCCTGGCTGTATTACTCATTGATGTTTCATGGAAATCGCATGTGTTCACATAAATCTAGTCCCTAGTTAGCTCGTCTTGAATATTTTCAGTCAGTACTCGTGTAAGTGTCAAGGATATTATGAGGACAGGGCCTGCATGTATTTAGTGCAATATCTTTCTTGCAATTAAATGAAAATCAGTAGGGCGAACAAGCACACTTTAAAAACATTTTCTTGAACATCTACTTTCCTATAGCCTGAAGCTGCTTTCCCACACATTGAATGCCCTGTACAACCAGCTCAACACGGAACTTATGCACTTTTCATTGACCTTGAACACCATTTTGAAATAACTAATGTGCACATACCTTTTGCTGCTGACTGGTACAGCTGCAGTACGCTTTCTTCAGCAATTTTTCTGCATCGATAGGGGGTAAATGGAAACACCGTATATAACAGGTTTAGCACAGATTTGAAAGTTGAGAATCCAAAGATAGTCTGGAAATTTCAAGGCAGTTTTAACCCATAAAACACTGCATTCAACGAGCAATTTTTGTGTCAATATGACGTTTCAAATTCTGACTAAATTTATCGCACTTCTACACAACCAGTTGAAACTGAAAATCACAATTAAATCATTTTGCTGAATGAGACGGTTTGTAAAATTGACACCTGTAATTGTGAAATCGAGGTACTTTAAGTCTTCTATGACCATTTTTTTCCTAACCCATGCGTGCTTGTGTGAAAAGTCAGTTTTTGTGCACAAAAACTTAAACCTCGTATATTTGGTCCAGGTGATTACAGACCAGGTAGGCAGTAACATAGAATGTGATGCAGCCCAAATGCAACCATGAGCAGAATGAATGCAGCGATTTCGCAACCAGGGATAACAAAAAAGTTGCGTGGAGACAACTCCCATCGCATGAAAAACGAAAGCAGATGGCCATATTCATGCGAAAGCATTATTGACAAGAACAATAAATCACTGCCACCTGCATACTACCTGCTACGTGAAAACAACAGGTTGATTGAACAGTTTCATGCTTGTTGAACAAATGTAGCTTTGTGAAAACGAGACCAAGCTAGTGAGAACGGGTGACAAATGTTTTAACACAATAGCATTAGTGCCAGCGTGTCTCATAATCATATGGTGGTTTTACGACGTTGAACGCCACATATCTATCAGCGTTAGTACCAGCACTTGAAGAAAAAAGCATCTTGAAAAAAATATAAATATTCATGGCCTCTTTAATTATTTCCTTCATAAAAACTTCTTTTTAGTCTATTTTGGTTCCAAGACAACTTGAACCTTCTGAGTACCTACCAGAGGATGTTAGGTTTTACCTTAAATTGACAACAACAAAAACTTTTGCTGTGTTTGAACAAGCTTTAACTATCACTACACCATAAAAAAGTCCAATGCTGATGTCATTATAAGCAGTGCCCTAACACACAACAGTTCAGGACAGGTTCTAAGAATTTTGTAGCATTAGCAAGTCTTGGCATTTTGAAAGCATATTAACCAAGTGCACTACTCACTTGACCTAGAAAAAAGCGAGAAAAAGCAACCTAAATGCAAGAGGCAAAAGTGAACTCATTAAAAAGATAATAGTAAAAGAGAGAAAGCGAGATGAGGTGGCATGAGGGTTGAGGATTGAAATGGACATTAGGACAGAGCATAAACAAGCAGAAAATATGCAAACTTGCAGTGTGTATTATTTTCAAAATGGACAGTTTGCTGCACTAATGCAAATGTATAACAGAAATTAGGTTGAACTGTCAATTTATTATTAAATAGCCATGGCCCCGAAGTTCAAGGTGTTTTCAAAGAGAGCATTCTATGCCAACACGTTCAAAGAGCTTGAAAGTCCTCGATGAATGCATGGATGGATGGATGGAAGAATGAAGTTATTCATTTATGCATCTATCGAAACAAGGTTACTGAAAGTGCACTTCTCAAAATCAAGCATTTTCAAGGACCTCTATGAACCCAAAATGCAATGCTTACCCATTCCTTTGACCGCAACGTCTTGCAAATTCTGATTTCTTTTTCGTTCTTCCACTAACTTCTTTCGAAGGGAAATAATCTCCTTCTCTAATCGAGCATACTTCTCATTTTTTTCCGGCTCGTGTCCAGCTTCATCATCTGCAGGCCAATCCATTGACATAGTCTCCATTTCTTTCCGCTTTGCAACCTACTTCCTTTTCTTTCTTTCTTTTTGGCTCAATTCTTCCTGCGAACAACACTGCATGAATACTTTGCATGGCTGCAGTGTACTGCCTTGACATGCACAGATTCTTTGATTGCCACTGATAATGAATTTGCGTTGAGAAAAAATTTCATTCTTTCACACATAATAAGCAATAATTGCAGATATACATATAAGGAATAATTTGTAATTTTTCCAGTGTCCTTCGTAAGGAATTACATATATATAAACTTTTTTTAGCATTTGCCAGAGAGTTAGCAAGCCTGTCTTGGAATACCACAGTCGCAGTTGTCCCTATATACTATTATTGAGTCTAAAATCGGCCAATAATCAAAAAGCTTGGGCGTGGTCATTATGGTTTATGGCATCACTATGAGAGAACAGTAAGCAAGTTCAAGCTGACTTGGATGAATAATTGCAAGATTCAGGTGACATGCTGAGCTAGAATGAATGGCTCACATGTTCTCAGAAGCTTCAACTACATATTCGCAGCATTTTCTCGCCACGCTCAAAAATTGTTGTGCTACCCCTTCAATAGACTTAGAAAGAAAGAATTATTGAGACATTTGTCAGGATAAATTATCAGAGATGCTTCACAGGTAAAGTTTAGTTACCTCACAATGGAAAACCCCAAGAACGTCGTCAAATACGTGATCTGTCATCGTAGACGACGTTTCTGCACTTTTCGTGCAAGTTCCTGCTTGGATTCTGTAACAACACCACAGCAAGGCTACTCAGAGAAAGTGATATTAGTTGCAGTAGGCAAAGGAATGCACAATATTGCAATATTGCTGATGCACAAGTGAAAAAAAGTCTGCATATATGTATATATAATTAAGACATGCAAAGTTTATTGACAAAGAAACATGGGCACTTTTAAAATAAATGGTGACTGCCAGCTATGCAGCTAAGTAGTAAATTATGGACTTTTATTGGACAAGAATAATTTCATATTGGCAGCTAGCTGCTAGACAGACATCCTAACTTTTAAGAATCTACAGTCACTAAAAGTGGACGACGTGATACAATAAAGAAGCCAAAGGGCTATTACTGTACCTAGTATAATATCATCTACGCCTCATTAGTCGTAACCTAGTTGCCAAGGTAACAATTGTGAATTATGACCAAGGCAAGGGGGTGATTGTCCACAGAATAGTGAAGTACAGTTTTGAACATGTTGTACTTAATGCATACCTTTTTGTCAAGACATCTGTGCTTTGTTTACGATGATGCAGGTTCATAAGCGCAGTGTAAGAAGATTTGCACTGCACTGGTAAATAAGAGATGCACTTAGATCACAGTGAACTTGTTGCTGTAGCCTGTTTCAAGAGGGTATCTGAATAATATTGCTAAAAGCAGTCCTCTCTTCAGTGAAGATATCACAATTTTTCTTCTTGTCCGTATTTGTTACAGAAGTTCTACTCAATCCAAGACATATGTAGCATAAAAATGTAAAAGACTGAAGTCCTTTCTGATGTGCTGGTTCAGCTGATTCAATGCCACTGCTCTCATTGGCTAAACAGGCATAGCATTGTGGAGTGAGAGAACTCTTTGGTTTAGATGCAGCCTAGCTTCAACACCCGTTCACAAATGCACTTATGTTTGACGCATTTAATTACATTGATGTCGCAGCGACTCAAAGTGATAGCTCACTGCAACACAATTTACAAACACAGCACCATTGAAGGCATCAAAGGGAGCATATAATCATCTACGGAAACTTTCTTGAAGCAACAAGGCACACTTAGAGCTGAGCTGCACTCTAGGAACGCGAGATACAATGGCCCAATGGGTGAAACAACGCTGTTATACAGAAATCTAAAATTGAATAGAAAGGCAGAGCACCCACGACAACAGGATAAAAATGTAGTGACGCTTCGGCATTCAAGAAAGGGCGCCTTTGCATTGGGAAGAAGGCTCCCTTTCTGGATGCCGAAACGTCGTTACATTTTGGTTTTGTTGTGGTCGGCGCCCTAGCCTTTTTATTCAATTATTCTCAACTAGAGAGCCATTTATCGTACCCTTAATTTCCACAATCGAAAACTCATCAACACATCTGAGAAATAGCTAACAAAAAATTTAGTGCTTTTGTTCAGCGAGCACAGTGGCACAACAATATATGTATGTGCAATTTGCCTACTTCTACAGGGCACAGATATACGCACGTCTTCAGTGTTATGTGAACATCTTAATTTTTGTCTGGCACAGTCAAACGTTTTGCATATGGCGTAAGGTATTAGCGTAACGACAAAAAATCAGCGAGATTCAACTGGCGCCATAAAAAATTACTTATCATTGGTTACTGTCGCCGATGGTACTGAAAAGGCGCGGAGATAGCAAACAAAGATAAAAATGTACAAGGCCGTGATGATCAGAAACACTTACAGCAAACTGTACGCCACTCAACCGCCAATTCAATGACGTCCCCGGGAAAGAAATCCTCAAGATCGCCATCTCCATTGTCTTTCTTCTGGCGCCAATATATAATTTTATTTTTGCCGCTTGCGATGTCTTTCTCAAACGACGGAGAGAAATCCCTCACCAGTCGGTGCGACACAATGGCTCTGGCACCATCTTTGTATATAACGTACGCATACATTATGATAAAAATCAAGGTAGTGAAGAAAAACAAATGTAAATGATACACTAAAGACAAGACAGTGCGACAGCAAGGAAGCGTGCAAGCAGATGGTCCTTAGAGGCTAGGCTACGAATGGATTCGTCTGCTTTGGGCTTTCATGGCTTTTGGCTTTCGTGGTGGGCTCTAAACGTCGTCTGCTCTCACTAGAGTATTGAAACCATGCATGTAGAATGAAAAACAGAGGCGTAGCCGGGGAGGACATTCAATTCCTGCCGAAATTTTCAATTTACATCGGTATATTTCCAGGTGCACATACAAACGCGTATGCATAACATGCATGAATTGATGACTGACCCGCCCCCCCGCACTCAAGATAAAAATTCTGGCTATGCTTCTGAGGTAAATATATGAAACAGCACCAATTTTTAAACTACCCACACTAACTATCTGTCAAAAACAAATATTATATTTGGTGAGTGAATGAATAAGGTAATTATTTCTTTTATTCAAGAGCCATCAGAGCGATATATATGTAAGGAATATTCCTTCCTCCATGATATGAAAGTTCATCGCGCACATCTTACATGGTGGATGCGGCCTTACGGAAAGGGCACTTCAATTAATGATTTACAAAGGCGTGCACATTTTGAAAGTACGATTTCAACATATTCTTGTAATTATTCACTTGGACAGCTGGCTTGAAGGTCATTCGATTGAATAACACCGGTTGGAGTGGCTGCATTTCGATAGAAGCGAAGTGCTGGAGAACCGTGTGCTTAGAATTGAAAAAATGCTAGCTCCGTACAAAAACTCTGGTTCCTCGAAATTTCCGATGAGGCTTGCTAGGGCGTCCCTCGTAAGACCCCAACAATATTTATGTTATCAATAATTAGACGCTAAATTCAGCAGCTCTTTGAAACAGGAGTTGACCGACCTTCACTGCTTAGTGTAACTTGGCAATATTACATCAGGCAAATGGAC